ACGTGGTTCCATTATCAACAAAAACCATTAGGGTATGGTGGACTTTTTGTCAAAGCTGTTTTGATTTTACAAAACTTTGGAAAGAGCTACATAATTCAGCTATAACATAAAATAATCGGATTTTACTGGTGGTAAATTTTTTTTACGAAATCATCGCTTAAGTGGACCTTACTTTTCATCGCGTTTAGTAAAAAATGTTGCTGATATTTTTTCACTAAGATTTATGGTATCGGCTTTATTGATACAATAACTGATGCCACATTAAATTCAGAGAAATTGTTGGTGCAGAAGTCCGTAACTAGAAAATCCTTTGAAATTCAGCTACGAAATTGAACGAGCCACCAATTCGATTTTTCCAATTTTCTAATGTTTGCTAATTCCTGAAACAAAGCCGATTACCAATCGTGCCATTATTTAAGAGGTATTCTTTAGTATTAAAAACACTATAAATTGCTCCAAGCCTTGCTCTGAAGCGAATGACTTGTTCCTCAACATTTTTGGGATATCCTTCAACAGTTTTGACTGAAACGCCTGCTACATACATTTTTAATACATTCCGTCTTCATCGGCTTTTTCTGCTGTGCGTTGCTGCAAATCAGAAAAATAGATGCGCGTCCTCACGTTAAGGACTAAATAGATTGTCTCTGGGCCAAATTTCAGAGCTCTTGCGACTAAGAAAGGAAAGTTATTGCAATTTTAAACTGAAGTGGCCTGATACTGGGTAACATACTGTGCAGTGAGATCTGTATCAAGAAGATACCCACAGGTACTCACACCAGAGTCTGCTTAACAAAAATGCTTTTCTAAGACAAGTTCGTTTTAAAAGTTTGTAACTTTTCGTGATTTTATATAATAGGCTGTTAGCCTGCTGGTAGAGGATGTGCGCTTAACATGGTTTCTGCTTCGTACAGGTTTCTTCGCTGTATTTGTTGGAAATGTCATCATTGCGATATGATGAAATGTTCATATTTTAGGAAAAGGGAAACTATCCTTCAAAAACTCAGGCGAAGTCTTATTTAGGTCACGTTTTACAGCAATCAGTTGAACGTCAGATCTTTTATAGTCTTGCTCTCACACGCAGATTGGTGGCTTTCTAGTTCCTTTTATTGTGATGGGTTGTGCTATGATTTTCACAACTCCAGGAGTTTTCCTGTTTTTACGGAGAACAGGTTAGTAATTAAAAGAAAACTCTATAGGCTTCTTTATTTTTTCTTTGAAGAAATCTTTGGCCATCTAGCTTGTGCCGGGCAGGCTCTTGGTCAGTGCAGACAAATGAAAAAAGCAAGCATTTTCACGTCGTAGTCGTGCAAAAACGGAAAAGAAATGTACAAAAAAGTGTGACGCACGTGCGAAGTTGTTGTTTTACTTATTAAATAAAGTTATGATCATGATTGGTCAAAATTGACCAATTATAGGGTTTACCTTTACCAGGAGCTGGTATACCGGAATAAGGTATTGAAAACAATTCTTACAGGCTCCACTTACCCGTCTCTCGCCAGCTCCTCCGCGTTTTTCGGGCAACTTTTCTCGATGCGCTTTCCCTACTATCTCAGAGCCTGGAACAGGCTACCCTAATCAAAATTAAGAATGTATATTTTCAGGAATTTCTAAGGTGGCTGAACACAGCTTAATGTGCATCTTAAGCTCTTTAAGAGAAAAAATGTAAGGACGACGACAAGCTGTGAAAAGTTCCCATAGTAGAAATGTCAGTAGAAATTTCTTTTACAAACAGCATGATCTCAGCGCTCATTTGAGTTTTGCGCAAGCGTACTTAGGGAGTAATGTAAGAGTGCTGGCATCGGCAATGTAAACAAACGACGATGTCTTAAAATCTACTCATTACATTTTCATGAAATTTGGCAGAAATCCTTTTCATATCGTACTTCAGTCAATGAAAGCTTCAAAATGAAAGTTAAACAGGGAAGTTTTGCGACACAATCAAATTTTATAGGAAAGAAGATCATCGCAGTTATAGACGCAACTTTTGCAGTTACGAAAAGAAAGCCTAAAAAAAACATTCCGGCTTGTACGGGATTCGAACCCTTGACCTCTGCGATACCAAGTGCAGCGCTCTACCAAATGAGCTAACAAACCAACTGGAAGTTTCTTATGAAAGCTACTTCCCTAAAAATGTCAAAAACTGTCTGTTATAATTTAGCTTAAATTGTGATCTGCGTGGAAATTCACCCTGAAATCTTAAGACTGGATTTTGCGTAAGCCTACTAAGTTCAAAAATTTACGCTTGTTGTCAATGATCATCCACGTTCCCACGGCAACGATCAAAATCTCACGACTCAGCTAATGAATGTAATATCTTATAAATATATTTTGTCTGTGCCAAATTTGGGCTTTACTAATGAATGGTAACGATGCACAAGCTAAAGCCGCAAAGTTTGGAGAGCAAAATGTTTCTAAACTTACCTTCGGAAAATGTTTGGTTGATTTATTTATTTATTTGCGCTGGAAATTTAACTCAAGCTAATGTCCACTGCTTTTTGTGCTGAAACCTGACTTTTAATGTGAACCTAGCAGTAAACTACTCGTGGAATTCACTTGTGTTACCATTTTACTCAGAAAAACAGACCGATGAGAAAACAGCTGAGGAATCAACCACCATCTTCAAGGCATTACGAAATCCTGGTACATTTATATCTGGTATGTACACACATTTGTTCTAAATGTAAATATGACTAACAACAATAGATCTTAAAACATTTATGATTAGTATAAGATTTTTTTTGCCATCCTCGCACTATAAAGCAGGACATAGCAATCGATACATTTATTTCAACTCTTCATTGAAAATCGCTGTCTGTTGTTTCTAGTGTTTTCATTTGTTGTCAGTGGTTGTTCTTTTGGATATATAGAGCCCATTTTTGAACCCTATATGATACAGGTAAGCTTTTATTATTATTATTATTATTATTATTATTATTATTATTACTATTATTATTATTTTATTATTGTTATTATCAATATTATTATTATTATTATTATTATTATCATTACTATCATTTATTATATAGACACGAGTGTTTTACTGGAAAATGTACCACTCGTAAAATTCTTAAAAACTACATCCGGGACCTGAGTGGTTTATTTTCCATAATCTCACACGTGAGTTTATCGACGACGTAATTTCGGTCATTTCCCTCTATTATTTTATCGATGTCTTTTTGTCTATATAATAAAAAGGACATTACACGGCGGCTCGAAGATATGAATTTTATTTTCTCGTGGCAAAAACAATATTTTACTCACTCGCTGCGCTCGTTCGTAAAATACTGTTTTGCCACTCGAAAATAAAATTCATATCTTCGCGCCACCGTGTAATATCCTCTATTTATTAATTTTCTTATTATCTACTTTCTGTCCTTTTGCATGGTAAGTAATCAAGTTCTTTCTTTTTAATGTTTGTGCAAGCCAATAAAAAGTCAACCAATCAATCAATTTATTAACGTCACAACCTGGGATAGAGTTGCCCCGAACATCCGAGCCGGAGGCGCCTGTATAAAACGCATGACAATAATAATTATTACTAACAATACAATACATGACAATAATTTAAAAAGATTAAAAATGTAAAGAACAAGTTAACAACTAATGAATGAGGCTGAGTATCTTATGAAGAATTATGGAGATCGAGGAGGGTGTAATCATTGTTGTAGTTGTTGTTGTTGTTTTTCGAATCCTCGTGCTTGGAATTAAAATGTACCAGTCGAGCTCACCATCGAGGGACGAAAGAAATATAATTTGGGGAAATTGTTCCCATAGAAACCGGCGGTCTCTCTGTCTTTAGACTGGTCTCAAACAAATTGTACCAACGTGCCCAGTGTACCACCCAGTATACTTTTGGTTTGCATTATGTAATAAAATGAGGTTAAGAGCATCACTAAATGCACACCGCTGATGCATTTTTGCTATTGAAAGGTGCCTAGTTGTAATAACTTATCCTTTCATTCCACATGCAGCTGGGCGAAAGTACAGTCAACATTGGGCTTATGTTTTTGTTATTCTCTGGGGTGTTCACTCTTTCTGCACCAGCAGTTGGCGTTATTGTTGATAAGACGGTGAGTTTCTGTTGTTGTTGTTGCTATTTCTTTGAAAAATTATAAAATAAAAACGTCGGTGGACAGGCTAACTAAGCGTACTCGTCTTATTCACCTCTCTTCCCTTGTTAACCCTATTCAGGCTTTTTATTTATAGAAACTTAAAACAAGCGGCATCATATTTTACAAGCCTAGCATAAACTGGCCATTCAATATACTTTGTTGTTGTTTTTCTTCAATCAAATCCTCGTGTTCTGACAGAAAAAACAGCTAAAATACTCGATTTCCTCACACAAGAATTAATTAATTTTTCACACAAAATGCGCCAATCTCGAAGGAATAAATCAAAACAAAAGCATTCAAAACAAGTTTAGAAAATTTCTTACATAAAAACTAGTGGGCCCGATCATTTAACAGAAAAACACACCTTCTCTCGATCTCGACAAATATTTTTAAATGAAATGGAATTGGAAAAGCATTCAACTTGTCAATTAAGGGAAGAATGCTTCACTTAGCAAGAACTGCGCTACACATACTAAAAATAAACCTTTGATAAGTTTTCCCAGCTGACTTACACTATGGAAAGATACGATTAATGCTCAGTGGCCTGTTCATTATTCAGATTATTACACTTTTATAGTCTTGTTACTGATTGAAATCGTTCAGTTTAATTCAAGCGTATCTGAAATAGAAAGCGGTACCGCTTATGGCAAGAAAAAGCAGTCGAAAAACACTGAAAAACGAAAAAAAACCCGTAAGTCAATTTCAACGAGTTACTACAATGGGCCCGGAGGTGGGTTTGTGTACATACGTTCATTTCTTATACAAATTCTTTAATATTTTTTTTATCAGAAATGGTACCGAGGCTTCCTTATTTTGGGCTTCATTAGTTTTGGTATTGGATATCTTATGCTCGGTCCTGCACCGTTTCTGACTTTTCTACCTCAAAGGTTTGTAACGACAAGAAGAAAACGAATCCAAATGGGGTAGAATGCAAATAATTTGAATGTTGGAAATATCTGAATGGCGTAACTCTTCATCAGTAAAGAAAAACATTGAAAAAAAAAACAGTTTTGTAGTTGTTACGAAACCAGACAAAACAAGACATTTTTGCCTTTTGACAAATTTTTCAGTTTCTTTTCTATAAACAATATTCTCTTTCAACCAAACAAAATCGTGAACTTTATGTTATGCTGCTAGGTTACAAGAAGAAAACAAGGCTAAATTCAGCAAGTAAATACACACTGCCGGCTCCGCTGTTTACCGCTGTTTACCGCTGTTTACCGCTGTATGGCCAGTACCTCAAGCATGCGTACAGCCATATCACCCGAGCAGTGGCAGCCATGGACAGCTGTTTCGCCATTATTAGGCTTCATCAGCATACTGCGGAGTTGGTAGTGTGTGCTTACTGGCTGTATTTAGTATTGTTACATGAAAAAAGCCTTTAATTGAAGAGTTCTAGCTCCCCATTTTTTAAGACCACGGTCTCTTATGTTTTCACCGCAATTTGAAATTCTTTCGGAACATAAATGATATTTTACATTAATTGCTAATACTTAATGGCTTCAGATGCTAAAAACTTATACCAATTTTATAATGGTGATATGTTTCCTCAGAAAAATGTAGTATATTAGCCAGATTAAATGATTATAGAACAGGGTGGATTTGAGTCCTTGTTGAATTAGACGATATATAAGTCGGGGGAGTCTATTACAGAGTCCAACTGAAATTCTAGCAAGTTTATATCTCATCAGCTGAGATGTTCAAGCATCATAGCCAGGATTGGCGGTGGTGTTGCTTCCATATCAGAAAACTGCCGATTCAAGTTGTGAAGCTATTTCTCTTATCGTGAAATGTGTGTCGCTCTCACCATAATTGATTCTCGAACTCTTGATTTTCAGTTAAGGTTATGATGTGAAAGTGTCCTAGTTTCAGTTTAGACGGGTAAATGGCGATGGCCAAAATCGATACGTAATGTTATTTGTATTAAGAAAATCTTTTCTAGCTTAGCGGAAGAGCATCTGGAGAGAAAGAACCAGAAGGTTTTTGTTTCCATCACACCTGGACCGACTGAAACAAAATATTCTCAAGAAACATCTTGTTTCTCTTTTCTTAAATTTTACAGAAACGTGTTGTTGGTGTGTATCAGCCTGGCTCTTGCTGGTCTCGCGGGAGGAATTTCCTTTGCGCCAATAATGCCAGATTTAATAAGAACGGCCAGGTACGCGTTCTTTTGCTATTCCTGATGAAAATGAAGTAAATGAACGGGCGCGGATCCATACCGGTTTCCACCGTTTTACAGAAATCGGTCAGATATTTCATAATGGATATATTTTTAGTAAAAACTTTAAACCTTCCAAGTTGAAATCTGGAAAATGGTTTGGAGAGTCAGTAAATATCCTGTCTGAATGGCTCGGAAACCCAGGAAAGGGGACTTTGGGGGGTTAAAATCCAAAACATTACCCGGGGGAGCATTCCCCCAGACCTCCCTAGAATAGAAAATCGGTCAGTATTTATTTTAGATCCGCGCCTGATGAATGTGTGTTTTATGTTTTAAATTGGACAAATAATTGGCTAGTAGAAATTAAGTTAGCAATTGATATGACTAAGACAGAACTCGTACTAATTGGCTTTAGAAAGAAATGTCAAAAGTTAAGAAAGTTCCTAATATCACCATCAATGAGATTCCTGTAAAGCACGTTTCCTCAGCAAAGTCACCGGATCTAACCATAGATAAAAAGCTAGTGAGAGTATCACGGAAATAAGCTAACAATAATGAGAGCAAAGAATTAATATGATTAAGGCAGAATTCGTACTAATTGGCTTTAGCCAGAAATTGTCAAATGTCAAGGAAGTTCCTGATATCACTATCAACTATGAGATTCCTGTTAGCAGGTTTCTTCTGCAAAGTCACTTGGGCTAACCATTCATTAAAATCTAACTAGGCAAAACCATAATTATAATCTTTAACTCATAACAATTTGCAAAATCGAGCGAGTTGTTTTTCTCTGCACTTTGAGTAGCCTCCCACGCAGGCATTTTTAGGGGAGCTCGTATTTCTTCCCTCCCCACAAACTACGAGCTCCCCTTAAAACGCCTGCGTGGGAGGCTACACTTTGAGATGTGCATATTATTTCTACAATACAACCCTCAGACCAGATTAGTGTGAATATTCTCCATTATGGTCGCCAAGTTCTGTTGTACGAAAGGAAACATTTATTTCCAAATCAATGTTTCTCTACCGTACTTCAGGGATAAATGCTTGCTAACCTGAGTTAAATATGGCAGTAAAATTAAAATTGTTCATTCATGTTGTTTTTAATTTATAGGGAACGCGGAATGCCTAACAATTCATCCACAAATGCCGTTCTATCGAGTATTTTTGGGAGCATGTTTTATTTAGGGTAAGTTTTGCATTTTGCCAACACTGTGGGTTTTTTATTCAGCTTGACTTTGCACTTTGCGTAAATACAGAAAATTTTTTTTTTTTTTTTTTGCAATGGAACGTGGTAACTCAGTCACGTGATCAGCAGCTACGGCACATCTCTTGTAACAAATTGAAATTAGACAGATACACCTAATTGCAATAACGTTGTCATAGAAAAAAGCAAAAAGCAAAAAGCCAAATAGGAATTAATTAGCCATGTGATTTACATTTGCGTATTTTAATAATATAACAATTATTTAAGTCAGTCACAATAACGAAATAATTCTGTAATTCCGCGCTGTAAGATTCCGCAGATGAAACACTGATGTGTTTAACAAAAGGGTCCTGACAAACGAAGCTTAGTTTGTGGCGCGGGAGAGGGACTGGCTGAGGAACGCCTCACCCTCTCCGCGATGGAAAGTCCTGCGTACGCCCCTGATTTGTTGCTTGAAAATTGTGATCTGATGGTGTGGTGCACTACAAACCATACGCAGACTGGCTTTTCTATTTAGCATTAAACGAAAAGACGCGTCGCGTTCCTGGAATTTACCCTAGGCTATATTTATTGAAAAAAAAAATGGAGCCATTTTTTCTTTAGTAGTTATCCGATGTACGTTTGTAATTAGAGCACGTTTGAAATCCGCTAGATGAATCAGCCTCGAATTGCATTAGAATGACATCAAGAAACTGATGCAAATGATTTCTCTCATGTTACGTGATTAATATTCAGCTATAAGCGTGTGTGTTGGGAATGTTGCAAGCAATGATAATTAAATGCTAATTAATTCCTATTTGGCTTTTTGCCTTTTGCTTTTTGCTTTTTGCTTTTTCTATGACAACCTTATTGCAAATAGGTGTAGATGATCATTATGTACAAATAGCAATAGCTGTAAATTAAATGTTATATAAAAAGCTTAAAAACGTAATTAGTAGTCGAGCATAATACAACAGTGATCAGCTTCCTGTAAAGCCAAGTTGTCCCAGATAAACCGTGTTAAACATAGTCTTCTTTTTGAAAACGCACTACATTTAAATTACACTTACGCTTATATTAGCAAAAATACAGCTTTCTTCAGTATAAAGAAAGACTGACTTATGAGTCCTTGGTAGACAAATCATTATCTTTTTTTGTGTGTCAAACAAGGATAAAAGAATCCGACAACAGACATTTGAGAAACGTATAAAGCAAGCGAGGCAAAAGACAAAAATGAAAAACGACAGAATCTCCCAAACAAGCAAAAACAAGCAAACAATTCGAGTGAACAGTACATAAAAGCAAGATTACAGTGCTTACAGCGTCCTCGCTTGTCTCCATTTTGGAATGTTAGAATGACATAAAATTTTCTTAGGGGACTGGACTTGTAAAACTCCCCAGGGGACCAGGGCTCAGTCACTGGTCCACAACGGTGGAGGACGCGGTCCACACTCTTTGATTTTTGGCAGGCAACTCTACCACATTCATACTCCTCACGGTAAGTGTAACCGGAGTTACTTGCGGTTGAGCCTAGTTTTCCCCCTCCTTCTCAAGTTTCCCTCGTTGTTGCTCATGCGCTGTCCAACAGAGGAATTTCCTAGCAGCACGTTTTGTTTTTAGGGGACAAAGAGTAAATACTCATGCTTAAAACATCTCTTCATAGCTTATTCTTTTTTCATTTTTTCAGCAGATTTACGAGCCATAGATCATGGCGAATAGAACACTCTCCTTTGTTTCCTAATCTGTTTTCAATTTAAGCCAACACGTTGCTCTTTCAAGGTTATCCAAGTCTTCAAGATGTTTTCTTGTTAATATGTTATTCACAGAGCAACTATTGGGCCAAGTATTGCCGGAGTTACTGACGAACACTTAGGTTTCCAGTGGTCAACAAGTGTAAGTTATATCTTAACCAGTAAATCTCGCTCGTCTCTCTTGTACTCAAAGCCCAAAGGAAAATACGTGCGATTTGGTGCACAGTGATCAAGGATCTACCGTTACCGCTATTAAGGTGTATACCTGTGTGGTACTGCTATTACAGCTCCGTCTTTGCCCATGTTGAAGGCCAGACTGAGTTAAAAGCTATCTATCCTGATAACATGCTACCCAGCTACAGTGGAACTTCGATTTAACTAAGGGCCAAGGGACTGACCAAAGACGTTCCTTACGTCATAGTCCGAGATAACGAACCAATCAGATTGGTTGAATCACCAAGATCACTGACTATGTATACTAATTGACTTTATTTCTTTTTCTTTTTTTTCTTTTATAGATCGCAGGCTTTATCTGTTTTGGTCACGTAAGCAATTCATATTTTACTTTATTAGTTCAATTTTTTTTCTGTACACTTATACATTATTCAATGAATTACAAATCAACAGATTCCTTTGATGAATAAATAAAACGAAAAAATAAATTTATAATATTCCCTCATTTTGAAATCACTGGTGATCCCTGCAATCTGACTGACTCTCAGCAGTGTGATTTATTCACGAATCACACTATTTTTTGCTCTAAATCAAAGATGTTCTAAATCGCGTCGTTCATTTCTAA